AAACTGCGTCCAGACAGCGTGGTCAGATGTTTGTGGGCGATTTGAGAGTCCGCTTTGGAGACCCTTAGGTTTCTTTGTATTTTAAGTTAAACTTTGACCGCAAACTTGATTTATAAAATATGAGTGATATGCCATAAATTTATATGGTTTGATTATATTTTCAGTGATACCATCATTATTGCATATAACTCATGTTTTATTATGTTAATATATGGTCATACTTTGGTTCAAAATATGAGGAGCCTAATAAACCCCATCAGAGTCGTCGGAACATCTTTTTCTCTCAAAGAGACTGAAATGTCCATTTAGAATGGTTCGTTTTTATTTCTTTTCATTTCTTTACAGAAAAAACTTTCGATTTATTCATCAATTGTTAAGCTAATACAAAGAACACCAGAAGTAAAAAGTATATCCAAGTCCGTACACTAGCTATCGGCGACTACAAGCACTGGAGTGAGCGAGGTGCGTGCCGTCGTCGCCCCTATCAACGACTACAAGCACTGATGTGACCCGGGCAAATATTGTTGTAGCAGACAGTCGGAAGTCGTCGTGCTAAAGCCCCATAGGACCATCGCACCAGAACAGCAACTGTCGCCAATGAAAAGAATCGTAGTCGGAAGGACAACACCAACCGATCCCACGAGATCCACCGGAGAAAAATCTCTACATTCCCTCTAATGATGCTGGAAACACCACTGGGAATGAAAGCTAGGAGGAACATATTCCCTCCACGGAGAGCTGCCAATGTGCATCTCTGAGCAGGACACAAACTCTATCAAAACTCAAAAATAAAAAAAATAACGTAGCCCTTCCGCCCATGGTCCCAGGACACAGAGGAGACGATCGTTTGAAGCGTTGAACCACGAGCATGCGCTCACACGGTCACACCCTCGCTTCTCACTAAGGGCATGTACAATGCATAGCCTCGGTGATGCCTCACATGCCATGTAGGATCGGATATGACGTAAAGTATGTTTGGATAGGGAAGCAGGATCCTCTTCAGAAGGCGGGTGCTTGAAGAAAAAAAGCGTGGTCCGGTGACAAAAGCTGAAAAGGTTAGAGTGAAAAGTAGAGATGCATGTGTATTAGAGTCTTTATTTTTTATTTCTTAATGAGACCCACTAATAATAGCTTGCATTGGAGATGAAAAATGAATGTAGGTGTTTCAAATTACTTTTTGTCATAAGGCATATTGTATCCATATGCCACCATTGTACATGCCCTAAGCAAGTTACGAAAAGGCAGCAGGCACACCCCTGTCAAGTAGGAAAAGAAGAGTAGGAGTAGGTCTGCCCGGTCATCGCGTCAAACTCGATCCCCGTCCACCGCGCACGCCGCCGAGGCACCCCGCGCCCGCACGGCGCGTGCATGGGCGACCCGGCGCCGCCCGCGTGGATGGCCGCCGCGGCCCGCAAGTGGCTCGAGGACGCCGGCGCCATCGCGGAGGATGGCGCCGGCGCCGGCGACGGCCGCAGGGCTTTTAACGCGCTGCCGCTGTTCGGCGTGCGCGTGTCCCTCGCCGAGCGCGGCCGCGCCGTCTGCTCGCTCCGCGTGCCCGCCCACCTCACGGTACGTGTGCGCCCGCTGACTATCTCGAGCCCTGGCGCTCTGCGAGGTTGGCTTCTTCCTGTGATTGGTTTCCGATTCCAATTTGTTCTTGGTTTGGGCGCGCGCGCGTGCAGGACGCAGACGGGAACTGGCACGCGGGGGCTATCGCGGCGGCGGTGGACGACGTTTGCGCGGCGGCGATCATGTCGGTGGAGGGCATCATCAAGGTCTCCGTCCACTACGACATCTCCTACTTCGCGCCGGCCAAGCACCATGTGCGTACCCTACCTACTATACTCTCTGCTCTGCTCTGTTCCTCCTCCAAATGCCAACATAAACTCGTTTATTGGGTGAAATGGAAATTATTAATCTCAGTGTTTGCTTCTTGCAATCGTTGTGTTGCTTGATCAGTTGCTGGGTAGCCACTCCCGCACGAAAAAAAATGATGTTCTGTAGCCGCGTATACTGAATTTCATGTTGTATTTCTCACATGTATATACAAAAATAAATAAATAAATAAATAGGATAATCTTGGTTGGTGAAGGACTAGAAAACACTTGGATTGTGTGGAGTCTTATGCGTACTTCCATATTTTGACGACCTCAAGGCTTTTTTTTTTTTGACTTGCAAGGCAAGAGCTGCACATATTTTTTTTATAAGATAGGAAAAAGCACAATTATAGTGCCTCGGTTTATATGAGAATCTGGGGCATATACCACATGAAATAAGAAAAAAGAGAAGAAAAAAACCGACTTGCAAGGCAAAAGCTGTGTCGAATTCATTAAAATAAGAAAAAGCACAAGAATGCAGAGTGGCTTGGTTTATATGAGAACCAAGGGCGAAAACCACGCAAAAGAAGAAAGAAGAGAAAAAACCGACTTGATTGCAAATGGAGCACCATCACCAAACACGACCACGAGTAAAAGATGCAGAGGTAAATTAATGCCTTCGCACTATTGAGGCGGTGATCAGGCGTGGTTTGGTCGGTAGACAGATTATAAAGGATAGTCCAATTAGGTGAGCTTGATCTTTCCTGGAAAGCTGCTTTCTGAGCTCAAAGAATTTGGTTGATTATTCCTTCTGAACGTGCGCTTTGTAGAGTAAATAAAGTTGGAGTATCAAAGCAAAACTCTTCAACCATTTCTTCTTCGAGTAGTTAAGGCAAGAGACGCCAAGGCTGCACATTAAGGGCAGCGGTTATGGCTCTGCCATTTTCGGCCTCAGCACAAGAGCACATTCTGATCTTGGCCCAGACAAAGCACTAATTTCCGGCCAGCATACACCATTTCAGACGCTTTCCGTTTTATTATTGCACAGTTTTAATTCGTCAAGTCACATTGTCTGAAGCTGTACGATTTCAACTGCATTTTGCATCCTCGCGTGCAAGTTTCATCAAGAACAAGGCTGATGTAAAATAGATTCTGCTGAAATGTTTTCAGGAGGAGGTGGAGATGGACGGAAGGGTGGTCGATCAGAAAGGGAGGATGACGGCGGTGACGACGGAAGTCCGGAAGAAGGAGTCCGGCGAGCTGGTGGCGATCGGCCGGCAGTGGATGACCACCTCCAGACCAAAGGGATATCACGGAAGCAAGCTATGATACAACAACGATGAGGACACTATCTGTCCAAATTCATTGATTAACTGACAATGTTAAATGAGTGGAGATCTTGTTCGAAAAAAAATGAGTGGAGATCACCTTCAGTCTAAAGGGATCTCAAGGAAGCTGCGTTGGGCATTTCGTCGGTTGACTTGAGTTTGAGGATATGCCTACATCGTGCATTGTTTTTTTCTTTTTTGCGGGGTTACATCGTGCATTGTTGCTAGTCACTATCATGGGTTAATTAAGTCGAGCGGATCTCTCATCACTTCATCAGCACTGCAAAGAGAGCCTTGGCTCAATGGTTGAGCATGCGGTTGTGCAGCCTAACGACCCGAATTCAATTCCTATAATTGACAGGTGATGCACAGGTATTTTCCCGCATTTATTGAGGATCAAGTTTGGTGTGTGATCGAACCACTCATCAAAAAATATCTTAATACTCATTTAAAAAATACTGAGGACCATGTTTATCTTGGTACTCATACTAAAATGGTCGTATGGTTCTCTAATTGGTGCAGAGGCCGAGGAAGTGAAATTCTGCCCCGATTTAAGAGTTTGGTAGACTCATCCCCGCACCTAACCCTATCCCGCTCCCGTGGCCTCCATCGGCCGCCTCCTCCCGTTCACTCCAGCGCCTCCTCCCCACGCTGCCGCAGCCGGGGGCATCGCAGGCAAAGCCTGTGTGCTGCAGCGACGGTGGCGGCGTTTCTCCTCAGCCCGCACTTCAGTCAGAATGGCGGCGGCCCGTGATGGCCGGATCTACGGCAGGGTGTGCGGGGCGGCGGTGGCGCTCGATCTGGCCCAGATGGGCTTTGACGGGCCACAACCTCGTGTATCGTTCCGTCAATGGCTTCCTGTCCCTCGGATCGACCCGCAACTCGAGGACGTCGGGGGCTGCGGCCCTGGGCGTGGCGGTGGTGGCCACCTCCTCCGCCGGAGATGGTTGTCCTGAGGCTGGGTGGTCGGATCTCCAGATCCGGCATCTAGTTCTTGCGGCGAGTTGGGGAAACAGAGTTGCCGGTGAAAACCGAGCCGATGGCGGGCAATGGTCGCGTTTTGCGTTGTTACCTTGATGAAGGCATTGTCGTGTAACTTCTGTCGACACACTCGTGCTACTTCAGAGGAAACCCTAAGATCTGGTCATCCAGATCGGACGATGGCGGTACTGCGGTATCGTTACTCTCTTGGGAGCATCGTTTGTGGAGCAGCGCTGGAAGACAGAGGCAGGAGGTGGAGCGGCTAAGTCTTGCACGGAGCTTCGGTGGAGATGTCAAGTCATGCCTGGCCGACAAGTGCTACGCTGTGTCATGCCTGGTCGGCAGGTGCTACGCACGACAGATCTTCTAGAGTCTTCGCATCTGGATGATTGCGTGCAGGGCGGTGGCCCCGTTGGGCGACGTGGTGGCGTCGACGAATGTCTGGAATGGCAAGGATGATGCGGATCTCTATTCTGAAGATGGGTCAGCGGTCCGAGAATGATGGCGGCTTCTGCCTTCTAAAACGTGTGCACGTGGTGCGCGCTTTAGGTCTGCTGCACCGGTTGTTGGTCTCGATATGTTATGTGGATGGATCGGCGACGACTCCGGTTTTAGATATGAGGGGTGAGAGCACTCCATATTATCGAGTTTATAGGTGTGAGTGATGGCTTCGGATGGCTTGATGTATTTTTTATCAGACCTTTGTAAAATAATTAATAAAGATGACTGTATGCATCGATTGATGCAGAAGCAAGGGTTTAACCTTCTTTAAAATAAAACAGCACTGATAATTTTTTTTAAGTGCTCTTATCATAGATTAACATATGTGTCGCTTCTCGTGCTCCTACGGGTACAACAAGGCTATAGCTGCCTAATGGAGTACGTAGTTAGGAAGCGTCCAAGGTCCAACCAAATCAAGCACACGCAACACAAACACATGGACGACGCGGCGGCGGAGGCCGAAGCGCTGCGGCTCCGGCTGGCCGCAATCGCCAGGAAGTGGCTGGAGGACCCCCGCGCGGACTACGCCGGCAACGTCACCGACGCGGCCAGCCAAAAGCGCCACGCGCTCAACTCGCTGGTGCTGGGCGGCGCACGCATCTCCCTCTCCGAGCACGGCCGCGTCGTCTGCTCGTTCCACGTGCCGCCGCCGCTCACCGTAAGTACGCACAGCTCATGGCTAATTGCTCGCGCATCCGGATTGGAGATCTCAATTCTCACCGCGGCGTGTCTTTGTCTGTTCCTGCTTTCCGCTCGCGTGCAGGACTCGGACGGGACGTGGCACGCGGGGGCGCTGGCGGCGGCGGTGGACAACATGTGCTCGGCGGTGGTTTTCACGGTGGTGGGCGCGCCCACGGCCACCGTCCACTACGGCCTGTCCTACTTCTCGCCCGTCGCGTGCAACGTATGCCCATTTCCTACAATAATACAGTACGTACTACTACTGTACTACATGATGATTGATGTCAAGCAAATTGAAACATGGCGAATCGTGTGCAGGAGGAGGTTCAATTGGACGGGCGGGTGGTGGGCCGGAAGGGGAAGCTGACGGCCGCTGTCGTGCGGGTGCGGAAGATGGGATCCGGCGAGCTGGTGGCGATAGGGAGGCAGTGGATGACCCCTGCCTGGCCAACAAAGAGCAACAAAAGTAGGAGCAGCCTCTGACACAAGTTAAAATGTCGTCCGATCGGATGATTTCAGATTTGAGCATCTATCTCCGTTCAGTAGAACGAAACAAATGAAAATCCATTTATTAGTGCTTGGGCGAGGGATTCTTTCTTTGAAGTCTAGTTCAGAAAAGAAAATGCACCTTTCGGCAGCGACTAAGACGTAAGAGCAACTCCAACGCGCCGACCCAAACCAAAAATGTTTTTGTCCGTTTGGGTCCGTCGACTGCTCGATGTCCGTCCTGTTTATCAATTGGGTCGGCAGTGCACCCAACGCGCCGACCCATAATGCCGGCGTGGCCCGTTGTCCGTCCTTTTTCAACAGTAAATTAAGCATAATTTTACAAGCCGGATAAAAATAAAAGTCTCACATAGTATTGCAAGCCGAATAAAAAGGATACATCTATTGATTGACAACATGAGCCCACATATGATATGTTCAACCAAATCATTTTGCAGCTGCATGTGAGTTTTCCAATCACCCATGTCATGATGAAATTGGGTGGCGACGAAGGAGCCGGCCGGCGAGGAGACGCGTGCCTCTCTTGGACTAGGTGACTGCCCTGGAGGCATCCGACGAGCGTGCCGGGCCGAAGGAGCTGACCAGGGCGGCGAGGCGGCTTCCTGCTCGCGTCGGCGTCGGGGGGGTGGGGGTGGGAAATTTCGGTGTCCCGGCGGCGAGACAGTGGAGGGGGCGACGTTGGGGGGAGGTGTGTCGGCACCGGCTGCCGGCAAGTTAAAATGTCGTCCGATCGATTGATTTCAGATTTGAGCATCTATCTCCGTTCAGTAGAACGAAACAAATGAAAATCCATTTATTAGTGCTTGGGCGAGGGATTCTTTTTTTGAAGTCTAGTTCAGAAAAGAAAATGCAACGTGCACTTTCAACTGAGTGAAAAAGCGTCAAATACACTTGTCACTACGCAATAGTTGCACCTTTCGGCAGCGACTAAGACGTAATACATCTATAACTCTTTATAAAACATTTTTAGAGTTTATGCCAATGTCGAAAACCGCCTTATACTAAGTTAGAGAGATAGTAAGAAAAAAATCATTTCTCAAGACTTGGATATACCCTTTTATTATGTCAATATGGGAAAATATCCTGGTGCTACCACTCCTTAGATGCTACTGTGATTAATGGGCACCAAGGCCGTCAGATATGTGGTCCAACGAACAACATCACCAGATGTGAACGAAAACATCATTTCAGGAATGTTGGGGGCTGCAAAACTTGCACTAGCTAATGCCGACCATTCGATGCACGATCCAATGGTCCAGAATCCCGTGGAATCCCGTATCATGGAAGCATCTAAAGGTGCGATCGCAGCTGTTATACACTATGTCAACTATTGCTCGAGACCTCGATGTGGTCGTTTTTGACAGTGCTGTGTGAGGATCATGTTCTTTTAATGTTGATGGGAGTATTGTCAAATTCATTGGTTAGAAAGGGTATCAAAGGAAAAAAAAGGCAAACCATAAATGTTAGTGCAAAAGGGAAAAAAAGGGGAAAAAAGAGACTGCTTGGTTTATTGAAAAAACCCGAATGAAAACCTTAATAAAGGCGAGGCACACCTAGTTAGACTGGTCTAAAGCACTACAAAATATCAAGACGCTTGAAAGGCCAACACCATAGGACACGTAGCCAGGTACTCGAGTGTCATCTTCGCCGCGACCAAAGTGCACACCGAAACCATTGCTAATCTAATTTGCCATGAGCAAATTTGCCAATCTCGTCGACACCAAAGAGGAAAGACATGCCAAGAGGAGGTGGACATATGCTGCTCTGCTGCCATGAGAAGCAACCAATTGGCTTATATGACCCTCCTCAAATGTGAATGGTACTCGTTCTCCCTGCCATCGATGAACGCACCATCTTCGGTCCCACAGGGCCACTGCCAACTTCCACAAGCAACAATTTCCACCGAACGGATCCACCTCCAAGACGATGCCCCCAAGATGGAACGCGATGTCGAGCATAACTACTAGTGTTGCCATCATCCGATCAAGCAGACCATATGTAGGGTTTACCCTGGAGCATGACGGGAAGGGCGATAAGAATTGCTACATCGACACCTCCAATGAGGGAACGGTGCATTTAAGCACCACCGAAGACGACTCATGCCACAACTGAACTACGGCTTTGGCCAGCAACCTTACCCGTCCAAACCTAGGAACGGACCATTCCACCATGGGCTTAATTTTTTTGGATTTGTGAACAATTTTTTAAATTCTAAGCAGTTTTTTTAACCGTGTACAACTTTTTTAAAATCCAAACATTTTTTAAAAACACAATTTTTAGAAAAAAATGAATATTTTTTGAAAAGTTGAACGTTTTATGGAAACTAGAATATTTTTTGAATTTGTGAACAATTATTGAAAAAGAGAATATATTTTGAACATTCAGAACAATTTTAGAAAATTCTTAAAAATATTATTTTTATGAATCTTTATTTTTTTTAAACACAAACATTTATCAAAATCTCAAACAAGTTTTTAATGCATGAACATTTTTTTGAAGAAATGTGTACATTTTTTGAATTTTGAACAAATTTCGGAACAAGCGCAAAAATTAAAGTTCAAAACTATTTTCAAAATGCGAACAACATTTCGAAATTTTGAACCTTTTTAAAAAATTTATGAAAAATTAAAATTCTGAGAAATTATTGAAATTTGGAGTTTATGAAAAAATAAATCCGAAAACAATAAACTTGATAAAGAAAAATAAACAGGAAAGAAAGGGGGAAAGGAAAAAAAATAAAAACAGAAATAGAAACTGAAAGAGAAAGCAAAATGGGCGGGCCTAGGCGTGGGCTCCCTGTCCGAAGCTCCGACTATTTTAATGCGGTAAATAGGGTTTTTCTACGTATACCACATTTTTTTTTAGGCAACCAACGTATACTACATCATTTTTTTAGGCAACCCGCGCATACCACGTTTTTTGTGGGCTTGGATGTGGGCTGCCCACATCAACCTGCAGCCTGATTGGGGATGCTCAAGACTCAACGGGGCCTAATCGAAGATTCGTCATCTCTCCTCGTCTCCTCGCATCCGACTATCCGAGAGCCGCCATCCCCAGCCCCGTGCCCTCCTCTCTCCTCAAGTAGCGCAGCTTCGCCTAGCCTCCGCTCCCCCGGAGTCCCGACGGTGGTCGTTGACGGAACCGGTTATTGGGTGACGTTCCTTCCCCTTGGCATCTCTGAATCCGAACCACATCGTCAGGTGAGTATCGCGGACGGACTTGTTTGGAGGATTACAGACCAGGTAAACCCAAAAATTCGATTTTTATTGCTCATTACTAGTTCGATTCGGGCTGGCTTAACACCTTTTGATCCATAAATTCAGCAGCCACTGCGCCCCTTGTTCGTGATCCGTGGGACGCACCGCCATACTGAAGGGACAGGGTTCTCGGCCAGTCGCTGCCAAGTTAACGAGCCCTCCTTCTTGGAAGCTCGGCCAGGATAAGATGTTCTGCAAGGAGTCAGAGTTGCATCGGGGCGCCAAGCTTGTCTACATGGGTGACAGCAAGTTCTGCCTCATTGAGTCCCTGTTCCACAAGGATGACCAGCATTTGCGCCGTGATCCTACTGAGATGGATCTCTGTGACGGCTGCCCGCCTAGGCGCCGCCGCGTGCTCCACGTGACCACGTTTGGCCTCAAGTACAATACAGCAGGAAATCTGCAGGTCATGCTGCGACAAGCTCACGCGTGCATGATGTTTAAGCGGCCTCATGATTTCACGGAGCCATCACTGGAGCCTTTGGCATTTTGGATCTAAGTTTGAACAAAATGGATGTGAGCCAGATATTAAGGATGAGGCGAAGAGCATGTGGTGGTGTATTAAACTTTTTGCCTCGTGCTGCCAATTGATTTCATATGGCTTTTTACTCCGCATATAAGGATTGTCTGAAGTCAAAATTCATAAATTTTGACCACATTTATATGAAAAAATATCAGCATCTGCCATGCTAAAGTTACATAATATGAAAATTTAAGTCACGACGCATCTATTGATAATGATTTCACATTATAAATGTTGTTATTTTTTTCTATAAAATTGGTCAAACTTTACGAGGCTTGACTTCAGACAAATCTCATATGCGAACTAAAAAGGACCGGAGAGAGTATTTGACAGGATCTTACTATATATGTCGCTCAAATTCAGAGAAATAGAGGAAAAGCATACGATTTGAGGGTCGAATTTGAGGTGGATTTCATTTCAGATCCGAGGAACTCGAGCTAGGGTTTGCCAGCCGGAACACGACAGCTTAGAGGGGCAAAGCCCAATTACATCCAGATGCCTCCTGTCCATCAGCGGGGCGGCTTAAAAAGGTAACAAAAAGTGAAAAAGGAGTGAAAACGATGTTCAACAAGCTACAGTATTCGCGGTAAATCTGACTCCTTTGTTTCTTATCCTGATCTTGTCGCTGTCCTGACAATTCCCCCTGTTGAGAATAGACTTGCCCTCAAGGCTGGAAATCGGGAAAGACCTTTTGAATGAAGGTTGCGTCCTCCCAAGTAACGTTCTCCTCCAGTAGATTGCTCCACTTGATGCGCCATTGCACGACCGGTATGCTAATATCACCCTAAATCCATGGATTTGATTTCCTTTCCAGGAGAGCTTCTGGTTTAATCAAGATGTGACCCTATGCATCCAAAAGTGGAAGCTTGGGATTGGGGCTTGCATCAGGTCCAATGTACTTCTTAAGCTGGCTTATGTGGAAGGTAGGGTGGGGCTGAGAGTCAGGTGGAAGAAGTAACTTGTATGCTACTTGGTAATTTGTATGCTACTTGGCCAATTCTCTGCAAAACCTTGAAAGGTCCATAGTACTTGGACTGCAGCTTGAGGAATTTGTGAATGCTCAGATTGGTGTTCCTATATGGTTGTAACTTGACATATACCATCTCCCCCACTTTCAGTTGTCTATCTGTTCTCTTTTTATCAGCATAAAATTTCATTCTCTCTTGAGCTTTGAACAAATTGTCCTTGGTATTTGT